ACATGAGGAATCAAGTCATATTGATACAGAGTCTGACTAACATAAGGAATCACATCAAATTGATACAGAGTCCGACTAACATAGGGAATCAGGTCATATTGCTACAGAGTCTGGCTAACATGGGAAATTAAGTCATATTGCTACAGAGTCTGACTAACATGAGGAATCAGTCATATTGCTACGAGTCTGACTAACATGGGGAATCGAGTCATATTGATACATTGTCTGACTAACATGGGGAATCAAGTCATATTGATATAGAGTCTGACTAACATGGTGAATCAAGTCATATTGATACAGAGTCTGACTAACATGGGGAATCAAGTCATATTGATACAGAGTCTGACTAACGTGGGGAATCAAGTCATATTGATACAGAGTTTGACAAACATGGGGAATCAAGTCATATTGATACAGAGTCTGACTAACATGGGGAATCAAGTCATATTGATACAGAGTCTAACTAACATGAGGAATCAAGACATATCGATACAGAGTCTGACAAACATGAGGAATCAAGTCATATTGATACAGAGTCTGACTAACATAAGGAATCACATCATATTGATACAGAGTCTGACTAACATGGGGACTCAGGTCATATTGCTACAGAGTCTGGCTAACATGGGAAGTCAAGTCATATTGCTACAGAGTCTGACTAACATGAGGAATCAAGTCATATTGCTATAGAGTCTGACTAACATAAGGAATCACATCATATTGATACAGAGTCTGACTAACATGGGGAATCAAGTCATATTTATACAGAGTTTGATAAACATGGGGAATCAAGTCATATTGATACAGAGTCTGACTAACATAAGGAATCACATCATATTGATACAGAGTCTGACTAACATGGGGAATCAAGTCATATTGATACACTGTCTGACAAACATGGGGAATCAAGTCATATTGATACAGAGTCTGACTAACATGGGAAATCAAGTCATATTGATACAGAGTCTGACTAACATGGGAAATCAAGTCATTTTGATACAGAGTCTGACTAACATGGGGAATCAAGTCATATTGATACAGAGTCTGACTAACATGGGGAATTAAGTCAAATTGATACACTGTCTGACAAACATGGGGAATCAAGTCATATTGATACAGAGTCTGACTAACATGAAGAATGAAGTCACATTGATACAGAGTCTGACAAATAGGACCGTAAGATCATATTACACATATATCCTTCTAGGTGTCCACTGATTCATTATAAAATCCTTTTATTAATTTATTTTGTAATATAACTTAAGGGACTAAATTGGCGCATAAATACGTAACATTTTAACGTTAATGAACTGATACTAACAATAGAGACGTCCTAGAGAACTACCAATCAACAATAAGTAGGTCACCTATAATATTATCTATATTATATTATATAGTCTACTGTCTACTGCTTGAAAGTTGACCGAGCGGTCAAATTGAAAGTTCAATTATTGAAAGACGAGTTCAAAATAAGTCAAGAATTCATTATATTGTTGGAATTTGGAGTTGCACATTTGAGGGAATTTAGAAAATACCCTTATCATTCAGTGATGTGTCGATTTAGGCTCTGTTGACGTTCGAAGGAACGACATCGACGCCGTGTAGTGGCCACGTCAATCAAACTCAATGATATAAGTAGTCAGTTAAGGGGCGGAGGTTATCTTTTCATTCCGTAACACAGATATAAACTGAATGCACGTGACCGCTGTTATTAAATCAAATTGCGTGAAACCGTGTAAACAGAATCGTGATTTAATTATATATTTATGAATATGTATCAGTAATCTTGCAGAGGTATGCTCGCCTTTGAGAAACCTACGATCTAGTAACGATAGTTTCTTATTGTTAAACGCAATGTTACGCAGCGGTCTTATTGGGAGCTTTGGAATATACGATCGTTCTTGAACTGCTGTCCACCATTGTCAGTTTTTAATTAAATTCAAATTAAAAGCATATCTATTTATTTCTGCGTTTAGGTATAGTTTATTGTTTAATTCAAAGATAATTGTTTACTGCGTGTTTTATAGGATTTTCGTAATTACATTTGTCATTTGTTTTTACTATATATTTCTTACATATTATCTAGCCTACTATACGAAATGCGATTCATGATTCAATTGAAACATGTCAAAGTAGATATTCTTGGATAATGCAATATTGTTATTTGTTAAAATGTTTCTCTGCAATTTAAATAGATAATGATTTTCTTTTTATTTCCATCTTTTATCATATTCCGGAAGTATTGTTATACATAAACGGATGAAATGAAATTATGCCTGATTCTTCTTAATGGTTTTATCCGGTATACATTTTTTCTGTAGCCATCTTTCCTTAACCGAAGAAGAGAAAATATTTATAAAAAAATTTAAAACCCATGTTTGATTGATTTTACTTTTAGGATATGAAGAATCAGGTTTTAACTACTAGTGGTTGGCTTAATATGGCAAGTAACAATTTTGTTCATTTTATCATGTGTTTCTTACACAAAGGAACCATTATGGATGTGGGAAATCCTTTCTAGTCTTGACTAAATACGAAATGACAAGAAAACATGTTGGTGTAACTCTGATGGTGTTATGAAAAGTTCTTTCATGATTAAAGTTTAAAATTAAATCGTGTTCTCAAATCGAAAGTTCACATCGACATTGGTTGAGGAGGATTTGAAATATTCCCTAATCACTATAATATATATTACCAGTTACTACTGGTAGTGTTATAGATGTAGAGCCTCGCAGTAATCTTGCGTTTTAACTACAAACAAAGACAACAGAACTATTTCGAGTATATTCAGCAGTTTTAAACGACTACATCAGAATGTGTTTTAAATTGTCATTGTGCCTTATTTCTTGTAGACAATAATATATAAGCTATGTTTTTATCCAATCTTGATGAAACTTAATATATATATGTATTTTGATCTCTGGCAAATTTAAAAACGGAAATACTTCGACAAACACTTTATTGAATTATTGCCCTTGATTTAAATAAAAAAAAAACGTGATAGGATATATTCGTTCTAGATGAAACTTCGTAGGTATAATATTTACACGGTCAAGAATTCATCGGTAATCCGGTTAAACCTATAAAGTAAAGTTGATTTTGTAGAAACCTTTTAAAATTTGAATAGAGCTCTACACATATTAGTAGGTATTCATATAATTTTAATGAAACCTTGGTATGTGTGGGTATATTAATCAGATCTTGAAATATATTTTGCAATTTTATGTGTATATTGGGGAGTTTTCAATCTTAATGATTTGTTTATAATACAGTGCGCTTTCAGGTAATCTTGAGTTTAAATGATGGATGATGAAACCATAATTGGTGTATAAACAACATTGAAATGTTATTAAAAATCTAAGAAATGTTCAATATGAGGAAAAAATTGTAGTTTAGTCACCATGGATACTGACAATATTTATGACAGCTACCAGTGGGTGTATATCATCTTCTAGGCTGGCAAACTATCTTTGAGTAAACAGGATACTGCAATGCAGTGTTACACTTGAACAGTGGAGCTACCCAGATAAGTCAAGTTTGGGGAACAGAAATGCACAAATATGTAAAAAAAAAACAGTAATTGGTTACTGAGGTAGTAACATATCAAAGTGTTATACCGAAACAGATGCTGTGTAATTAAGCATGATGGTATTCAATCAAATTAGAAATTCAGTTTCATCTATCATAGTAAAGGTTGATATACGAGTTGTCGCACAAGGCCTTTTATTTGTACAAATTAAGTTATTTCTAACCCGCACATATCTTGTAAGTGTATCAAATTGGTATTTTAGATAGAAATTAATAAGTACTTCTTCAACATTATAAATTAACTTAATTATAGAGGAATCGTTTTGATCCAGTTTACCGTGTGAATAAGTAATTTGAACCAAGGTTAAGATCGATGTCTCAGACTTTTACTTCCTTGTCTATTGTCCAGTCGACAACTATATCCTTTATTGACAACTCGATCGAAAGTAAACAGTATTATATTTTGATGCTCCATTTTATGGTGATTTCAAGGTAATTCTTGTTGCGAAGATTCTATTAAAAATCAAACCC